CTCCACATACATGATGATGAAGGAGTGGCAGTACACCGTCGACTTCCATTATCAGGCCGCGTTCCAGGTCATCTGCCGCCCCGAGCATGAGCAAGATGAGTTCTAGGCTGGCCACATCAATGCGGTGAAGCTGCGGACCCCGTGGAGGATCATTCACACTCTTCTCACCCAATCCATCGTCCCTAGTTTGCGAGCGGGCCATCTGATCACTAACAGAGGGCTGATTGCCCTCCATTCTATGAGGCATCCCGTCGAGCCGCTCCATCTGGAATCGTTGGTTGCCACCACTTTCGCCCGGTTTCTGGGGTGGAACAGGGTGGACACCATGCATATGGGGGGTATCATCACGAGGCTGGCCCGATACTTCGACGTGGACGTGAAGAGGGCCCCCGTAGTTTTTCGGACCGAGGCCTTCGCACAGGAGACTCTCTACAACATGAAGCTGGTGCTTCAAGGAGAGCCAGGGGTCGAGTACCTCGACGGACTTTGACCCTTAGTAGCTATGAGGCCGACAATTGACCCATCTCTTGGAGACCAATCCAGAGGTCCCTCCTCCAGAGCAGCCACCTAAGCTCCTGGCCGCCGCTGGCGTCCCGCGCTCTTGCGTCCTGCACCAGCAAAGTCATGTTTTGGCTAGACGACGCAACCCTCATTTGCAAACCACTCAACCCTACAAACCTATTCTCCTCATCTTGTACCGCCAGCCCTTCCACCGTCCCGCGTTCTCGTGCTCTTTCTCTCTCTCTATTTATATATCCCATCTCTCACGGCCTCCTCCATTCCGACAATCGATTCCAATTCCAGTTCAGAACTTTGGATTCACATCACTTGTTCTCCGTTGAATTCGATACAAGCAATTATGATGCACACAGTCTTCTTCTTTCGTCCTTCCATTCAAACAATCATTCACCATCTACAACCAAAGCATTTGGCCCAAATCGAGAGGCATGGTACACCAGTCACCTCTCTTTATTACACGATGGCACAAAGAAGACCACAAGTTCAGAAACGTACGCCATAAGTTCGTTAAAGCACACCACAAGTTTATTATTGTATGCCACAAGTAACGTAGAGCAAACCACATGTTTATATAAGCACGCCACACGTCTATTGTCTTGCGCCTTTATTTATTTAGTTTTGCTATTCTTGTTCCAGATATGTGTATTCTATTCTGAGATTGTTTTGGCCGAATGAAGAAGACGACGAAGATGGAATTTCCATCGAATTATGGGTGTATAGTTATCTTAACTTGTGTTGGTGAAATAAACCTCCTTATTGGGTTTAGAATAGTGCAATATGATATCCACCACTGACATAGAATTTTCACAAGTTTCTTAAAGCACGTTACAAGGTGGATTAAAGCACAACAAAAGTGGATTAAAGCACACCACAAGGTTCTTGTATTGTCGTTATATTATTTTAGTTTTGCCATGAAGCTTCTAGTATATGGATTTATTATCAGTGATATTTAGGATTTGTTTCGGCCGAAGAAAGAAGATGGTGAAGATAGAAATTTAATCAAACTGTGAGTGGATAGTTAGGATAAAAGGTGTTTTCGAAATAACACGAGCGATTGGGCTTAAAGTAATGCACTAATTCCGGATCCAATTATGAATTCTCACATCGGCTAAATGGCCAAGGAATAGGTGTGTAAGATGTATTTGTTATTGAAACAATTATGCACTAGTCCCGAACTGTTGTCCGGTTCGAGTTCTTCCTCCTCCACCCCGGACGGATTGCTCGGACTGAGCTCTCTCTTGTTCTCCTTTCTTAGGGCACACTCTAGCAAAATGGCCCGGCTCACTGCAATAGTAGAAACCCCAGGGGGACTGCCTACATGCCCCTAAATGGTTCCGCCCACACTGGTTGCAGGGACCCCTATTGCTGGACGCCTGACCAGGCCGGACCGAGCCGGTCTGCTCTGAGTACCTCCAAAATTATAGGTACCAGTTGGCCAGCTCTCTCAGGCATGCTACTCGCCTTCCTTTTACTACCCTCTCGCTAAATCCCTTCCTCATGTAAGGCTGTCTGACTTGCTCTGACTATCACAATAAAATCCCACCTAAGGCCCAACTATAATCCTTAGATGGGTGCAATATAGGACGAGTATGTTTAAATATCGACTCGGGCCGGCCCATGTACCACTACTTAGACTGTTTGAAACATTATCCAACGAATGTGTTTTGTTGAAAACAAAGGTCTAAAGCTAAATTACTTTGCAAGGTAAAATGGATTTGACACTAATTGGGAAGGCTTCACCAGGGTGTTGCTCCCCCTAGCTAAAAATTACGACTTAAAGAATCGAACGACCGTGTGTCGTTAGTGGGTTATAAACTGCAGGGAAGTCTAACAAGTAGCCAAGGCTACCCTCTTAGTCTCTAGGTTGAGGAAATGTGATATGATCCAAGCCGCTAATGCGACCCTCTCAACCTATCGACTAAGGAATGGTTAGACTCCACCCTCGAATTGGAGTTCGGACGGCCACCCACAACCAACCTCTAAGTGCTAATACGAAATAGGAGGTTTTTCCTTAGTTAATGTAGAATAGGAGGCATGAATTACACAGGGAAACCCATCTCTAATAAAGCCTCTTATGTTAAGGAGGGTTCTCTCTAAACTTATCTAGGATGCCTTGAATGCCCAAGGAAACTCAGCTCAAATTGAGCCTCTTTGGATAAAGGAAGTTTCCTCTCTAAATTAGCCTAGGAGACATGTAATCCCCAAGAACACTCATCTCTAATAGAGCCACTTAAACTAAGGAGGTCTCCTCTCTAAGCTAGGTCAACATAGCATACACAATCACCATGAAAAATACCTCCACATTCACATTAAACACAACCACACACAAATCATTCAATTCTTACAGGCATTCACATAATTGTAGATAGGGTTTACAAACACCCAAGTGAAAGAAGGACTACTCCATGCTAGGAGAAGGGAAAACACAAGAGAGGGAAAGAGAAACCATCAAGAAGATGCAAGCCTTGCTCCTTGTGTTGAAGAGATCCTCCTTTGGGGAGGAATTCCCAATTCCTTGCTTGGAGATGAAATCCTAGCTTATCCTCTTCTTTGGTTCGTCTCTTTCTCACTCTAAAATCTGAAGATGAAGAAGTTTCTCACACGGCCGTGAACATCGAAAAGCGTCCATGAACACAGTGTCTGAACCAAAACGCATTACTTCACATCCTGGAGTTCACGGTTTGTGGCTTCTGTTCACAGTATTAGCAACCGCGAATAGCCTTGGCATTAGTAACCTCAAAACCCTCTCTGGACGCTCCTTGGTTCATGGATTGTGGCTCCAGTTCACGGTCTTGTAAGACCGTGAACTCCAATGGCAGACCATGAACTGTGGCTGTCTTCTCCTCTTTGCCCGGTCTTTGCTCCTTTTCTCCCAACTTTTGACTCTGGGTTTGTGTTTCGCCTATTAGGATCTGAAACACACATAAACACAAGAAACCTCGCGTAAAACCACCAATTTTGGAGTTCAATTGCAACAAATGTTAAAGTAAAATGGGGATAAAAAGTGTACAATTAGGCCCGAATCACTCCCCCACACTTAGACGTTTGCTTGTCCCAACGAAAACCATTTCACACAAGGTAATCTCTCAACCTAACAAAAATTCTTCGGGGACAAATCAAAGTGCACAAAGTGGCAAATCTTAATGGCTATTGGGAATTAACACATGGGCCGTTGCAAGAAATGCCGACATCCACCACAAACGACATCGACGTCACAAAATGGGCAAACGAAAAGTTCTCACCTTGTTCATGAATCAATGCAAGCCTCAACAAGATTACTTATCAACCACAACTAACCATGCCTAACATTCAAGTACAAGGAACAAACGAATGGGCAACAAAGGTCATCGCCAGGGTATGGTATGACATGCAAGGCAAGAATGAATCACTCACTCTCTTGACCAGTGGGGTCGGGACCTTTTTGTTGTAAATAATGTGCACAATCATCAACGCTCGGCCCTATCGTCTCTTCACCACGGCAGCAACCTTTAAATGTTAGAGTTCCCGGGATGGTTGTCATCACTAGCTTGTCTGGAGTTCTTAGACACGGGTTCAAATCACTGACAATTGTCTTGTACATGGGGAAAAGGCTTTTTGGGTGGTTCCAAACACATCATGAGGTTCTACATCTTCACCCTAAACCCGAAGGTTCTATGGTTTCGACTACGAACCTTCCCTACAAACAATGGCCACTAGCATCGGCCAAAAACCATGCTTCTTCTTTCTAAACTATCACCCATCATGAACTACCTTTAAGCACTCATCCTCGGTCTACTCTCGCTATCACATTTCAACTTGGTAGTGAAGGAGTTCTAAAACAATGTGGGGGTTTCAATGACTTGCGTGCCAAGAAACCCCACTTAGAGCATACTCTTTGAATCTTTGGTGGTACTCTCTACTTTATTTACCTCGTTTTATTACCTCTTTTTTATTCCTTTTTCTTTCTTTTTCTCTTTTATTTTATTTTCTTTTTGAGGGGTACTAGAGAGTTAAACACTTGTGACTTTCATTCCTAGCTAGAACCGCACACAATCCTCCTATGTAGAACCTCAATGGAACTCAAAAGCGAGAGCTCCGGGACACAAGGATGACTCACATATAGAGCTCAAGGATCAATGCCTTGTCATCTTGGAAGCATGTCTATTGGAGAGCTCACATATCAAATGGTATTTCATTCACTTAGTATTTACCTACTATAATTTTAATTTCACTCACTAAAGATAGCAGTATCTGTGTGAATCAAGATTGAGAGGAAACACAAGGATGGTTGTGATAAGCCTTTATTCTTGTTGTCTGCTTTTGTTGTTCTGTTTACTCTTTTGGACTCCTATTTTATATTGTTTATTAGTTTTGCTTTCTTTTCACCTGGGTTCACGTCTTATGAGATGAGCTAGCATATGAACACCCATACACGGCATGCTGCATTTTTCTGTCTTACTGGTGAAACTGTAATAGACAATGGTTGCGAGCAAATAACATTCGTTTAATTTATACAGACAGACAAAGAAGGAAACATGCCAAGTTTCATAAAAGTTTTCTCGTGCTCCCGTCAAAAAGGAGGAGCAATTGATCCCAAGTCAGCTCGAAAAGAGGTACACTGAGTTTTCTTTTATGTACTACACAACCTAAACTTGTATATATGAAGCTAATATAATGTTTTGTACTTTTATATAGGCAGAACTTATTGAAACCATGCATCAGAATCCTGGAATTAATGGTTTAGATCTGGTGGAGAAATGCTTTGGGCCACAAAAGCATGGTGGTATAATTGGATATGGAAGTGGGATAACACCAAAGGATTTAAGGACACCAAGAAATGAAAAGAATCCAGAGGTTGAGGCTCAACTTCAACGCAGTGAGGAAGAAAAGGCTGCTCTAGAAGAGAAAAATGGAGCCCTTGAAGCTGAAAAGGCAGTTATTGCAGCTGAGAAGGAAGCACTATTTCATCGTTTAAATAACATGGAGTCTAATTATATGGTTGAGTTAAGGAGCTTGAGAGAAATGGTCATGCTCCAACAAACTACTTGGAGTTCGTTGCACCGACCACATGACAACCATAATCAATATATATAATCAGGTTTGTTTTTATTTTCTCAACTAATCTGGCTCTCTTTGAAATTTTGATCCTTTTCAATACATGTTAAATAATGCCTAATAGAGATGAACCAAGTTTTGACTAATAGGATCCCTTGATTTCATTAGAAATATACGAATAGTAATCAGGACATCGAGTATATACGGGTGTGCAGATTATGAATGCACAGTTTTTGATTAAACATGTCTTCCCTAGGATACATGTGACTATGGATGAGCTAACTTGCTTTACTAAGTTGTGGCCTCTTGTGACATGTGAGCAGCAAGAAGTTTTAAGTTTATGTTTGTGGCTTATGTGTATTGCAGGAAGTTGCTACTTTTATGTTTATGCTTGGACTGATGTTGGTTTTTTTTTCTGTGAACAGGTGTTCATATGTTAATGAATTTCAATGGACAAGGAAGCATCCAGATTATCTATATGCTGGATGGTTTTTGTGCTTTTATCCTTCAAGAACGTGTGAAGCTCATATCTCTTGTCCATCATTTTGAGATGAAGTTCAAAAGTAGAAATTGTTAGATTATTATCTAATTCTATATTGAACAATATCAGTGTAAAGATTTTTAACTTCGGTTCATACTAGTGAAAAGTATTTCATTCTGTTATGTGTCTATATATGCATACCAATGGGATATTCATTTACATTGTTTATTAATTACGAGGGGGATTCAGTTATTTTATAACTTATAACGACGAGATATCCATCAAAATTCTTCATTAATAATGAGGGGATTCAGTTACTTGTCCACAAATAATGAAAGGGATAGCCGTCGGCATTGCTCATAATTCCTTTTGTTAAAAGTTCATCTTCAACGACCGGAAAGCACTCCTCCCGGCAAACCTTTCTACGACCGGTTACAAATTTCCCGTTGGTATTGACTTTTACCGGCAAAGCCAACAATGAGGGTTTGACTCCTGTCGTCAATGATTATTGCCGACAGTTTTTGTATCATTAACGACCGGATTCACCTCTCGTTAAAAGCTATTTTTTTTGTAGTGATTACAAGTCATTTGGAGTGGTAATCCACCATATTGTGCAATTTGGTCTCGGTACTAAGGGTTCGTACTCTTGCACATCTTGTCATTATGACACAATTAAGCGGTTTATGTGTTTATATGACTAAACCAATCATTGAATTACATGTCCATCAACATTACAAGACCTTTGGAGTGTGTAATCCACCTGATTTGCAATTTGTTCTCGGTACTAAGGGTTCGTACTCGTGCACATCTTGTCATTATGACACAATTAAGCGGTTTATGTGTTTATATGACTAAACCAATCATTGAATCACCTTTCCATCAACATTACAAGACATTTGGAGTGCGTAATCCACATTATTTTGCAATTTGGACTCGCTACTAAGAGTTCTTACTCGTGCACATCTTGTCATTATGACATAATTAAACGGTTTATATGTTTACATGACTAAACCAATCAAAGAATCACATGTTTATCAACATTACAAGACATTTGGAGTGCAAATCCACCTTATTATGTAATTTGGACTCGGTACTAAGAGTTCGTACTCGTGCACATCTTGTTATTATGACACAATTAAGCGATTTATGTGTTTATATGACTAAACAAATCATTGAATCACATGTCCATCAACATTACAAGTCATTTGGAGTGGTAATCCACCTTATTGTGCAATTTGGACTCGGTACTAAGGGTTCGTACTCATGCACATCTTGTCATTATGACACCATTAAGCGGTTTATGTGTTTATATGACTAAACCAATCAAAGAATCACATGTCCATCAACATTACAAGACATTTGGATTGTGTAATCCACCTTATTGTGCAATTTGGACTCGCTACTACGAGTACGTACTCGTGCACATCTTGTCATTATGACACAATTAAGCGGTTTATGTGTTTATATGACTAAACCAATCATTGAATTACATGTCCATCAACATTACAAGTCATTTGGAGTGGTAATCCACCTTATTGTGCAATTTGGTCTCGGTACTAAGGGTTCGTACTCGTGCACATCTTGTCATTATGACACCATTAAGCGGTTTATGTGTTTATATGACTAAACCAATCATTGAATTACATGTCCATCAACATTACAAGACATTTGGAGTTGAAATCCACCTTATTGTGCAATTTGGTCTCGGTACTAAGGGTTCGTACTCGTGCACATCTTGTCATTATGACACCATTAAGCGGTTTATGTGTTTATATGACTAAACCAATCATTGAATTACATGTCCATCAACATTACAAGTCATTTGGAGTTGTAATCCACCTTATTGTGCAATTTGGTCTCGGTACTAAGGGTTCGTACTCGTGCACATCTTGTCATTATGACACCATTAAGCGATTTATGTGTTTATATGACTAAACCAATCAAAGAATCACATGTCCATCAACATTACAAGGCATTTGGAGTGTGAAATCCACCTTATTGTGTAATTTGGTCTCGGTACTAAGGGTTCGTACTCGTGCACATCTTGTCATTATGACACAATTAAGCGGTTTATGTGTTTATATGACTAAACCAATCATTGAATTACATGTCCATCAACATTACAAGTCATTTGGAGTGGTAATCCACCTTATTGTGCAATTTGGTCTCGGTACTAAGGGTTCGTACTCATGCACATCTTGTCATTATGACACCATTAAGCGGTTTATGTCTTTATATGACTAAACCAATTAAAGAATCACATGTCCATCAACATTACAAGACATTTGGAGTGTGAAATCCACCTAATTGTGCAATTTGGTCTCGGTACTAAGGGTTCGTACTCCTGCACATCTTGTCATTAGGACACAATTGAGCGGTTTATGTGTTTATATGACTAAACCAATTATTGAATTACATGTCCATCAACATTACAAGTTATTTGGAGTGGTAATCCACCTTATTGTGCAATTTGGTCTCGGTACTAAGGGTTCGTACTCGTGCACATCTTGTCATTATGACACCATTAAGCGGTTTATGTGTTTATATGACTAAACCAATCAAAGAATCACATGTCTATCAATATTACAAGACATTTGGAGTGCAAATCCACATTATTGTACAATTTGGACTCGGTACTAAGAGTTCGTACTCGTGCACATCTTGTCATTATGAAGCGGTTTATGTGGTTACATGACTAAATCAATCAAATAATCACACGTCTATCAACAATACAAGACATTTAGAGTGCAAATCCACCTTATTATGTAATTTGGACTCGGTACTAAGAGTTCGTACTCGTGCACATCTTGTCATTATGACACAATTAAGCGGTTTATGTGTTTATATGACTAAACCAATCATTGAATCACCTTTCCATCAACATTACAAGACATTTGGAGTGCGTAATCCACATTATTTTGCAATTTACTAAGAGTTCTTACTCGTGCACATCTTGTCATTATGACATAATTAAACGGTTTATATGTTTACATGAATAAACCAATCAAAGAATCACATGTTTATCAACATTACAAGATATTTGGAGTGCAAATCCACCTTATTATGTAATTTGGACTCGGTACTAAGAGTTCGTACTCGTGCACATCTTGTCATTATGACACAATTATGCTGTTTATGTGTTTACATGACTAAACCAATCAAATAATCACACGTCCATCAACATTACAAGACATTTGGAGTGTGTAATCCACCTTATTGTGCAATTTGGACTCGCTACTAAGAGTTCGTACTCGTGCACATCTTGTCATTATGACACAATTAAGCGGTTTATGTGTTTATATGACTAAACCAATCATTGAATTACATGTCCATCAACATTACAAGTCATTTGGAGTGGTAATCCACCTTATTGTGCAATTTGGTCTCGGTACTAAGGGTTCGTACTCGTGCACATCTTGTCATTATGACACCATTAAGCGGTTTATGTGTTTATATGACTAAACCAATCAAGGAATCACATGTCCATCAACATTACAAGACATTTGGAGTTGAAATCCACCTTATTGTGCAATTTGGTCTCGGTACTAAGGGTTCGTACTCGTGCACATCTTGTCATTATGACACCATTAAGCGGTTTATGTGTTTATATGACTAAACCAATCATTGAATTACATGTCCATCAACATTACAAGTCATTTGGAGTGGTAATCCACCTTATTGTGCAATTTGGTCTTGGTACTAAGGGTTCGTACTCGTGCACATCTTGTCATTATGACACCATTAAGCGGTTTATGTGTTTATATGACTAAACCAATCAAAGAATCACATGTCCATCAACATTACAAGACATTTGGAGTTGAAATCCACCTTATTGTGCAATTTGGTCTCGGTACTAAGGGTTCGTACTCGTGCACATCTTGTCATTATGACACCATTAAGCGGTTATGTGTTTATATCACTAAACCAATCATTGAATTACATGTCCATCAACATTACAAGTCATTTGGAGTGGTAATCCACCTTATTTGCAATTTGGTCTCGGTACTAAGGGTTCGTACTCGTGCACATCTTGTCATTATGACACCATTAAGCGGTTTATGTGTTTATATGACTAAACCAATCAAAGAATCACATGTCCATCAACATTACAAGACCTTTGGAGTGTCCGAGTGTGTAATCCACCTTATTGTGCAATTTGGACTCGCTACTAAGAGTTCGTACTCGTGCACATCTTGTCATTATGACACAATTATGCTGTTTATGTGTTTACATGACTAAACCAATCAAATAATCACACGTCCATCAACATTACAAGTCATTTGGAGTGGTAATCCACCTTACTGTGCAATTTGGTCTTGGTACTAAGGGTTCGTACTCGTGCACATCTTGTCATTATGACACCATTAAGCGGTTTATGTGTTTATATGACTAAACCAATCAAAGAATCACATGTCCATCAACATTACACGACATTTGGAGTTGAAATCCACCTTATTGTGCAATTTGGTCTCGGTACTAAGGGTTCGTACTCGTGCACATCTTGTCATTATGACACCATTATGCGGTTATGTGTTTATATCACTAAACCAATCATTGAATTACATGTCTATCAACATTACAAGTCATTTGGAGTGGTAATCCACCTTATTTGCAATTTGTTCTCGGTACTAAGGGTTCGTACTCGTGCACATCTTGTCATTATGACACCATTAAGCGGTTTATGTGTTTATATGACTAAACCAATCAAAGAATCACATGTCCATCAACATTACAAGACCTTTGGAGTGTGTAATCCACCTTATTGTGCAATTTGGACTCGCTACTAAGAGTTCGTACTCGTGCACATCTTGTCATTATGACACAATTAAGCGGTTTATGTGTTTATATGACTAAACCAATCATTGAATTACATGTCCATCAACATTACAAGACATTTGGAGTGGTAATCCACCTTATTGTACAATTTGGTTTTGGTACTAAGGGTTCGTACTCGTGCACATCTTGTCATTATGACACCATTAAGCGGTTTATGTGTTTATATGACTAAACCAATCAAAGAATCACATGTCCATCAACATTACAAGACATTTGGAGTTGAAATCCACCTATTTGGCCGAGATTGTGCAGGGGAAGCCATATGTGTGTGCTTCTCTAGCCAAGGCCGATGGGGAACCACAAGGTGGAAAGCCCAATCGTGCTCCGATTCAAACTAGGAAATATTCCTTCGATGTTTCAAAATCAGAACTGATTTTCGACCAGCTTTACAAAGATGGTCAAATTAAGTTGACAGGGGGGCATACTATCCCGCCAGCTGAAAAATTAAAAGGGAAACGATACTGTAAATGGCATAACAGTGCATCT